CACGTGCAGCAAGATGAAAACCCCTAATCTGGAAAAAGCAGGAGCAGTCAGTACTGAAGCTGAGTCCCTTCTGGAACAAAGGCCATTTAAATGTGATCAAACCTGTAGGACTCTGGGCAGAACAGAGCATTCCATCTCACAATGTCCTGCACCTTCAGGACTTGGCATTCATGTCACTGTCCCCTTCATGGCTGATGCCAGAAGAGAAAGTGTCTCCCCATGGAGCTGAATGTCATTGTGGAGTGTGATTTCACCCCACATCACAATCTAGACTTCCAATGGTCTAGAAAGGCGTGAAGGATTTTTCAAGTGCTGGAGTTGCCTCTGCTCTGGCTCTGGCTCTCAGCTTGTAGCATGGGAAGATGGACAGATGTTTTTTATGAGCAGTGACCTCAAAGTTGTTCCCAGGCAGGACAGCTCTGCCTGCACGGGCCAGCCTGTCTTGGCCTGTTCATCATACCTGAATTGCTGTTTTGGTTAAAAAAGAGTATAATGTTATATATCAAGTCAACAGAGATATTGTCAGGGTAGGATTACTGCAGGGAAAGCATGTAAAAGATTACTGGAATACTAAGTGCTGTTACCTCAAATGCAGATTATAACAATTGAAAAAGACCCCATAAATCTATTTTTTGTGTATAAGACTTGCAGATTCTTATAAAAAGAACTTAGGCTGTGAAAATCCAGCACAAGCTGAAACGTATAGCAAGAGATTCAAAACCTGCTGGGACTTACAAGGTAAAAAACTCGTAGTTAGGAGAATTATTTAAAAGAATATTGTCATGACCTGGTTGTATTTTTTCATCGAAGATGTTTATACATTTGCTTTTTTCCTCCCTCTCAGTTTTACAAACCAGGTTTCTGCAGAAGAGGAAGAAGGGGTTTCATTCCCAAGAGCGGATGTTGGGTGGCGTGTCACAGCAGGAGCCACCCTGTTAGATGTCCTCGAGGTCTCTCCCAGGACATGCCAGCTGGACACTCCTTGGGACTGCCCTGTCCTGCCCAAGGGGACCTGACTAGTTCCTGCCCTGCCTGGAGCCCTGTGTCCCTGTGCTGCCACAACTTCCACGTTGTCCCTGTGCGAGCGGGCTGAGGAGCAGCCGGGAGCCGGAGGGGCTGTGCCGCAGCAGGAGGTGCCTGGTGCCAGCCATGTGCCCAGCTGGGTGGCACCCCCAGCCCCCCGACGCCGTGGGCCTGTCTCAGTAGCCCCCCCGGGCTCTGCTGCCCCGTGCTGTTGATGTTGAGCGTGTTGTGCTTCAGGGTGCTGAGGAAAATGCAGAGGCGGCACAGCAGCAACACGGACAACGCGCCTCCGGAAAGGTACACCTGCCTCCCTCCTCCCGGCTCCTCTCCAGGGGGAGTGTCCTGATTTAAATGTAGGGGGGGGTGAGAAGATGGAAGCTCAAAACTGAGTTTCCTCAGTCCTCATCCCTGTGGATGTGGTGTGGCCAGGCTTTCTGCTCCAGTTCGGGAAGTTTGGACACAGATTTACTTTTCCCCCTCGTGTCAGCATTGACTGCTGCCCACCACAGTGCTCCAGGATGATCCAGTGTGGCACATGAGGAGCTGGCTTGGCACAGGCAGGACGTTTTGGAGCGCTAATATTGCTGTTTTGGTTAAAAAAGAGCATAATATTATGTATTAACTCAAAAGAGATGCTGTCAGGTTAGGATTAAATAACATTTACTGCAGGGAAAGCATAGAAGACTCCTGGAATACTAAGTGTTGTTACTTCAAATGCAGATTATAGCATTTGGAAAAAAAACATAATATCTATTTTTTTCCTGTATAAAACTTACAGATCCTTATAAAAAGAATTTAAGCCCTGAATGATTTGTTGCACAGTCTTATGGGGATCTTGAGTGCAATCAATCTGCAAGGATCAACCTGTATGAACAGAAACTATACTTCTGTTATTAAAGTGTGTAAAAAGTCTGCTGGGCTGAAGCTTTCAACGACTTAGTGTTTTATAAAGAGCTTGAGTGATCCTTTACATCCTCCCAGAGTCTGTATCCAGCTCTATGTATGTGAGTATTTAGGTGCAGAATACCTCTAATTCACTTCTGCAATTATACCATCAGCAAGGGAGCCTTGCCACTGTTGTTGTTCTGGTGCTAAGTATTCCCTAGGGCTTTCCCAGAGCTACAGCTTGACTTTGTGTTTTTTTTTCCTAAAGAAGAAACTAATCTAATTAAGACAAAGATAGAACTGACAAATGTAGTTGCTCTGGCTGAGCTGAGGTTATAAGTGAAAGATCATCGGGTTTGCAAGTAGAGTTGCACTTTGATGCCCTGACCCCTGCTAGCATGGTACTGTTCTTAATTTCAGGGGAAAAGAAAGCCACCTCCACCTTTTTTTCTGCATGATGCTGCCCAAGCCTCAGTGCAGAAAAAAAAAGTGTGGGTTTTGTATCAGCAGACAAGGCTGGGTCTTGAGAGGCACAGAAAGTGCTGAATGGGCCTTCTTGTCTTCTGTGCAGAGCTCTCTGAGTCTGTACAAACCTGTAAGACACTTCAGTTAAAATATATTCAGGGTCTGTGTCTGTTATTGAGTGCAAAAGATAAGCAGAGTAATGTCAGTTGGCTTTTATAAATCCTTCTGGTTTTTAACAGGTTAGGTACCTATTATCAGAGAGGCTGAAGGTTTCTAAATGTAGAATGAAATGCTGTTGCCACTGGTATTCCCTTCTGGTTAACTTCAGCAGCCTCACAATTTCATCCTTGTTTGTTTTTAAATGTGTCCCACATTAATTCCTTCCTGCTGAAAGCCCAGTCCTGTATCCTGGTAGTATTATTCCAAACAATAGTTGTGTCTTTATTTGTAACACTGGGTTCCACCCAGGCTGTTTGTTAGTGTTCCCAGACCCAAGGACTGTCACATTCTGTCCCCGTGTTGTGTGTGTATATCCCTGAGTTGTAATCACTACTTCTAAAGTTAGAGACCTCCAGGGGTTAAAATCAAGAGAGACCAAAGCCCTGCAACTTGCCTTATTTGTGAGCTTTGCCTCTTGCTGAGCTTATTTATTCTTTACTCTCCTTCTGCAATTTAGAGAGGTGTTTGCTGTCTGCCAAGCATTTACTGCCTAATGATCATTCTACTTGTTACCTGGATTGTTCCCTGCCATCTAAACTTGCTTTGTATTCATCTTAATTCCACAGGATTGACTTCAGGTGAAGAAAGCCTCTAGTCTTTTGGTGTTAGGAGGAAGGTATTTAGACTTTTTGGAATCTGGAAAGAACTAATTCTCTCCAGGTCCCAGTAATTTGGGTAC